GACGTGAAAAAACCGCAAAACCAAATAATATTTCCTCACACACACAAAAAAAAACAAATTTTTCCTCAAATAAAAAAGATGTAGTAATTCAATCAACTAGAAGATTAAATTGAATTCGGTAGATTTAGCATACTACAAACTGATTAATTCCGGCAGTCGCATTAGTCAAGGGTGCGCAACAATGAAAGAAACAAAGCGCTCAATCGAGAGATGCCGAGCGCGCGCGCTGACTGCCGCTTAAGTGATCCAAGTGATAACAAGGATTTCATTCAGACGCGCGCGTCAATCAATCGGAATAGATTCAATTTACCGAGAGCGTTTTGAGCGTACAAACGTCCATTCCAAGTCGACAACGAATCCGCCAAAATTTCAATACATCTATACTCTATTCACGTTCAAATCCTCAATAACAAATTAATACTCTCCGGAATAAAATCGTAATTTTTGAACGTGAACAGATTATATTTTCACCCGTCACACATCTATCGAGTGCCAGAATGAACTCGGCGAAGTGGGCGAGGAGGAGAGGAAGGTGTCGGATAATAGACACGACGATATTCGCGAAATCTGTCACTGGCACCACGTGGCGATGAAAACCACTCGAGCATCGTTCGCCGCCCACCACCGCGCTGCCAAAAACCGCCGCGCTGAGGTGTGAGAGAGTGTATATGTGTCGACAGTTACAAGTGCCGTTCGATGCGCTGCTCTCGCTTTGTTCGCGGCGCATAAAATTCCCGCGCTCGAATTTTGATTAATTAATTAATTAATTAAAAAGTTACATCGCGCGAAAATCCGCAACAATTCACGTACACCCACAAAAATTCCTCATCTAAATGACAATCAAAATTACCGCAACAAAAATTAATTAATAAATTATAATTTTCCATTTTTTTCTATTTTCTATTCAAGTAGGCACCTATATTTTCATCCCTCCAGCTTGCTACACTTATATATTCACCCCCGGTGCACTTATCCTAGCCTCTTCTGTATTGCATGTCCTTCGTCCTGGGTCCTCCTCAGAATCTCAAGTCTCTCTTATTCAGCCGCCCCTCTCTCCATCCCGTCATCCTTCCACTTGGCTTACCCAATTCAAACCCAACTCTTTCTGTTGATTTTGCAAAGTTAATTGAAAAGTCATTTTGCATTCTAATTAGGTGTGTCGTTATTCTAACCGGCATCCTCTCCCTCTTACGCTCTCAACATGAATGTGTATTTTATAATATCAAAATAATTTCCGGTGAAAATTTCCCAAACACACATATACTGTGTGTTTGAGAAAATTATCGCCTAATCATAAATAGCGTCTATATTGATAAACGCTGGAGTAGTTCGGAGCTGTTTGCAGAGAGTGCAGCACGATATATTATATTTACCGCATATATTAAATTAGTTAATTAAGTTGATTTGAATTTTAAATGAGCATATAGGTGGGTAGAGAAAGCAGGCGCACGACGGCACAATATTGGCATACGCGCGGGCGTTTGCAATAAATATTTAGTCGCGAAAATAAGTTTTCTTAGCGGATTAGTTTACACCACCGGAGGCTGTGTGTGCGTAAAGATTATATCAAAAATAAACAAATTTTCCTCATCTACCTTAAATTAATTGTCAAAAAATACCAAAATTTCATGTTTTTCTAATCTGATTTTATTCCTATCGTAACAATAAATTTTCAAATTAACAACCGCAATTTGTATTTTTTATGTGCTCCAAAAACTTGTTATTATTCCAAATCAAGGCAAACACTTTGAATTACAACTCGGCGCAGAATGGAGTATAACTATAAGGGTATTACTAAAGTGGTAAAAGAAACTGAAAAGTTTCACCGCACGCGACGCGCGTCATAACACGAAATTCCAGTAAACCAACTTCAACTACATTTCCACTTTCCACCTTATTCTCAATAAGCACATGTGCGGACTAGAATTTTCATTTCATTCGCTCAATTCTTCTAGATTCCTACAAAAAAAAAAACAGAGAGAAAAAAGTTTTATACGCCCGCTTTATTTTTATGATTTTTCCTTTCACATTTCAGTCGAGTTGAGTTGAGAAGTGAGCGTTTAGCGTTTATTATTTCTTGCATATCATTAGCGTGCGCGCATGGTATGGCAGTATACGTGGTTGGAAGCACTTGGACAAACAACCACCCCACTAGAGAGCGAAAAAAAGTCCAACACACATAACTCGGGTTTATAGTCCATTGAAAAACATATTCATGAGCAAGTGAGCTGGACATTCAAGACCCGCACCCATCTTAACGATGACCAATTATGAACTACCCTGTAGACGCATTGAAAATATCAACTAAAATTCACCGGCTCCCGACTTTTTCACATCTTCATCGCGCTGCTCTATTCCATAGTATTTTCGCATCGTGTTTGTTCATTTTTTGTGTTTTCATTTGCTCTCCGCCCGCGGCTGCTTTAATAGAAACTTGTGTTAGCGGCGAGCCGAGTTAATAGCCCGCTTATGTCCATAAAAAAATCATACCCCACCGTCGAAGGGTTGGCGAGACACAAAAAATAATAGCTAATAACGCCGCCGCTGCCGCCGCCGCCCTCGGAGAAAGCAACAATAAAGCGGCACACGCAGAGAGACGCAACGAAAAAAAAAACGCAATATAACTCATCGTAAAACGTAATTTATTATCGCGCGAGGATTTTATCTTTTAATTTAATCTATCACGAGCCGGCCCACCAGACGTAAGAAAATTACAGACGTTGGACAAGTTGTGCGATGTCGAGTGGAAACGCACGAAAACACACGCGACACACGATAGATTTCGATTCAATGTGGGCGGTTAAATGCGTAATAAAGTTGTTACTAAATGCGCACTAATAATACGCTCCGAAAAATTCAAGTTTAAACCGAAGCACACATTTTTTGCGCACTCAACCCCGCAATATGGATTAATGCGTAACGAGCAGGTGCAGCGCCCGCCCCAAGATGATGCCGCCGCCGAATAAAACTATCAAGAAGTGTAATCTCTTAAATAAACCACCTCGGCTCGTCTGCACGCCGCCTACGCCTCCTGCGCGCACACATCGTCTAAGTGTTTTTCGCAATAAACTGTCTCTGCGGACGCATTTCCCGGATGAGCGCAAGGCTAATACCGTTAGCTATGGAGCCGCCTCCCTACATAAGGGGGTGCACATCTACCAGCTTTCTAGAAGCCCCGCCGTCGAGTCAGAGAGCAGCGACACGAGTAAGAGCAAAAAGCGTTTGCAATATTTTAACTATCCGCAGAAATAAATTCAAGCACGAATTTTATGCGTTTTTTTATCGATAAGCATACACTACAACTACTAATCCTTATAAATTACAACCCCGAAAGAAAAATAAAACAAAATAAATGCAAAAATTACGTTTACAGATTGCAATTGTTAGTTTCCGCAGTTTCAGGCTGAAGATTAACACCACGCGGCGCAAAAAATGCTAAACGCGGTGAATTTGTGGTCGATTCGAATCCGTTTCGAATGTTTACGAACGTTTTCTGACCGCGCGCGCGCGACAAAACGTGAATGTTACCAGAACAAGAACATTACATTCCTCTTTCGGTAATCCTTTGGCAAAAAACGCAGCAGCACTTTTCCGGTTGTATTTTTCAGTTTTGTCCCCGTTTACTGCGTGTTATTTTCTCGTTTTTCTGTCTAAAAACGAGTCCATTAGAAAGAAACGCTTCGCACCGCTGCTAAAAAGCATTATGCCTCACGGGCATGCACAGCGCCCCGGAAGAACGACAGACGCACAAAACCGCTGCGAAAAAATTCGCGCAAATGCTAAACTACCCCCGGAGATAACGCAAATAAACTTGTTTAGTTTCAAAGTCCTTTGTAACTAATGTTTGCAAACATTTTAATTTTTCGAAAGCAAATAACGCAACCCAACATACACACACACATACATAGCCTAAATACAAAATAAATATTTAATGAATATCTGAATTTCCGAATGTTTTTAAGAAAAACGAGCTCTGTATAAATATTTAACTCGAATCGAAGCCATCATAAAACCGTTCGCCAATAAATAATCCTCGGTATAATCCATTCATCTATTCGTAAATTCGTAATTCGAGGCGTTGCCTTCCTTGGCCACCAGCAGTAGAGAGTAGCAACCCTCAGCTCCAACTCGATCGTTTGGTTGGAAATTTGAAAAAGATTTACGATCGCTCGATGCGCCGTCCGTGTATATCGTACGTAGTACGTGGTTATGTGTACAAACCGAGCGCGGAATTAGTCGATTGAGTCAAACCCGACGACCGCAACACGTTCCTTTTCCACCCTTTTCACAGCGCCACGCAGAGACGGAATATTACACGATACAGATTTTTATGCGCCAAGGTACGGACACGTATTATACGAATAAAGCGATTGGAAACGATTGCCAGGAGTGACCGACTACCAACACACACACACATCTAACCCGGGACATGTGTGGCGGCGAAAAATGTCGAGAAACGAAAAAGCCCCCAACGGTCAGAGGAGAAAATATCCCCGCGCTCACACGCGATTGTGTCATCTCGACGTGGCGGATTTTCTCTCTATCGAGGTATTTTTGAGGGGGCGAGTCGTCCTGTGTGTCATATCTAACTGTAGTCGGAGGACTCGTAAAAACCCTAAACCGGCCGCGGGATGCCCCGTGACCAGATGACCAGATGCTACTATATACCACCCTGACACGCAGCACAAAGAAAAAAATCTCCCGCAACAAAAAAAGACGTGATATACAAAAGGACGAGAAAAAAGCAACGCGCACAGGCAGAGATTGTGGAAGGGAATGTGGAATATGTCTAGGAATCTATCGCTTGATTGACGAGTGACCTTCATGTCGACCCGCACAAAAAGGACAAGACGTTTTTTATCATTTCCCATCAGACGCAATAAAAAATAATTGGTTATTACCAATATTAACTTTTAAAACTTTTTTCTGGTTCGATTTGGATCCATCTCATAATTATTTCATTCATTCAATCAATAGAAACGAAAAAACAATGTACTCACTGTTATTATGACGGCGTCCTCGTCTCTCCCACGTTGAGGAGCGTCTTCGATTCAATTGATCCTTAAAAAATATCTGAAACAAAACAGAAAAAAATTAAATTTTTATTTTCAGGAAGCAAAGGATACAATATCGCTAAGAAAATGAAATTGGAACTCTTATTTTATTAAATTTCGTTTAGAAATATCAATACAAAGAAATTGTAAAAAAATGCACACATTTAGTTAAACCATTTTCGACCGACTTAGACTATCCAAGATGGTGGCGCACGGCGGTGGCAGGTGGCAATGCGCCGAGGGTGAATGTAACGGTTACGTAATGCATAAGTACATCGACGTAAGCGCATTGAGAGTCGCGACGTGACGCCATGACGCCCAAACGTGACGCGACTATTTTTCCGCTTTAGATATTTACATTTATTTAGATATATAGCTGCGCATATGCATGTATAATGTAAAAGATAACTACCTACGGAAGTAAACCAAAAAAAAAAAGCAAAAATAAACAAAATCATATCATAAAATCATCCAAAATCTCATAACATCCCCTTTACCACCTCCCAGCTTAAAACCAGATAGTTGTTAAGTACATCTTGTATTACAAGACTAATTTGAGTTTTAACTGGGCACTTGAGCCCGTCGCGTTTCTCGTTTTGCGCCGAGGCAAGCACCAAAACACCTCGTAAACTATTCCGCTTCCGGTTTGCAGGTTACGCGCGCGCGCCGCCGCTGAATTAAAGCGTCAACAAGCGTCGGGGTGTAATGACGAGCGAATCGGCAAGGGTCGCCACCCCCCATAGGATTGCCGCCCTGGACGGCAGCACGGATGATGATGATGCTAACCGTGAGTAATCAAGCAAAACTATTCCAACGACCGGCGGACAAACCGCGTCTCAACCGACCCGACCAACTACAACATCAACTCTCCAACATCACAGCCGACCGCCCCCCAATAACTAGCGCTAGGTGGAGGAGTAGTCACTGTACAAGCAGATAAGTACAAGTGAGCGTCGCGACTCCCGACAGTCACGAACAACTTGTCACGAAACAAGTCGTTACAGGAACTATACTCAATTCAAGTTCAAAATGTTTTATCAGTAAAACATCCAAAAATTATCCAAAAGTGTTTATTGTTGTTTAAAGACAAAATAATAATTTTTGATGGAAATGATTTGGTTGCTTTTAACTTGTACAGAGTATAGTTTTGAATGTCCAAGTTGAGTGCTTGCACAACGTCTACGGTTCCTAATTAGCGAAACCAGGCAAATTACAGAGACGACAAGCGCTGGAGGTGTCTCGTTGTCCAAGCCCTGACTCGACCTGCCCCCGCTGCTCCAAAGGACGCGAAACTCGCGCAACCGGAACTTCTCTATCGGCGCGCGCTCACGAGGGCTTGTTATTGCTGCGCCGCGAGACGCTTTTAAACGATTTAGTTACCTATAGTTGTTACCTATGCTTTATTTGCTTTACGCTCGCTTTACTCTACATTCAAAGCTCAAACTGAACTCATACCAACCAACACATCGTTTCAAAATAATACGCAAAACTACTAAAAATACAATAAATTAAAATTAAACTTATTTGAGTTAAATAAAAATAAGTAGGATTATACAAAGTGTTCTTTTTTAAGAAAGCGACGAAAAAAAGAATAGAAAAGTAAAGTAAAGCAAAATTGTGTTATCCCAGCGGGCCTTTGATTGTAACGAGCGGTGAAACCGAACGCGCCCGGAGATTATAGGCACTCATCGAGACGAGATCCCGCTTTGCTCGATTTTCATCCATCGACGGGGCGCGCGCCCTCGATGCGAATCGTCGACGCGAATCTTTGTTAACCGTTGCTGCCGCCGTCGGTGGAGCAAATCGAATGCCCACTTTCCGCGCGCGGTGTTCATCGTTTCATCCTTTCTCGCGTAATGTCATTTCGTATTGAACGCTACTCAAAAAGGAACGATGGATGTTGCAAAAAAAACTCCAAATGCGAGTGTGAGAGAGGCCGAAAAAGAAGTAGAAAAGCTTTCGTTGTCGCCCGACAAGGTTTTGCTCACATTCGCAGGGATTAATCCATTATGCGATACGTCATTCAAAAAAGTACCATTGATTTGTGCCTTCACACTTTATTATTTAAGTGTGCTCTAATTAGTTACCAAATTGACACATAGATGGAGTTAGATTTAAGCGGAAAATATCGTAGACATTTTAATAGCGTTGATTTTAGAATAGAAATATGATCACACCTTGTATTTATGAATGTATTTCAAAAGACTGTGTAATTTTTGCCACGAGCGCGACTTTAATTAAATCGTGCACACGGCACCGTCGCGTGTATCAGCCGCACTAGCCTCGCGAAATTAAATTATAAACTTTTACGATCCTCGTGTATGTGCAACATGAGCAACACTCTAATATACAGTGCGTTAAAATTATCACAAATGAAAAACTTCAATAAAAATTTTAAAAATTAAAATAATTTGAATGTTTGTGAATTAGTTTGATATTTTTATCATTTTATCTTATTATTTTAAACAATAGACTTGAAATTTTTACAGCAGTGGTGTTTTAGCGCAGGCTTTTTACATCTTTCGTGGCGCGTTAACATTTCAGTAACATTTTAAGTTCCGCACTATATCACACCGGCCGCTGCCCGGCGCCTCCACTAAAAAGGTGCACAGATAAAGAATAAAGGCGCTCTTTGCCCCCATCGCACTCAAACACAGCGCGCGAAACTTTGGCTGGTAATTGCAAAAGCGTGTTTTACACTTATGCTTTTCAGGCGCACGGCGGTGCGAAGAACCCCGACGTAAATTAGCTAATAAGCTGTCACTACCCAAAAACAAAAACGAAATAAACTTGCAAATAAAAACACAAAATTAAACAAAACAAAAAAAAACTAAACTAATTTCATCCTCTACTTTTTTACCCGCAAACGTAATCCCTCCGAAAGGGTTGAAATATATTCGACCAAAGACAAGCAGAGCTCTTAAGATAAAGGAAAATATTAGAAAATATGAAGCAATATAAACGGCCACCACCATAAGAGGCACGAAGTGTAAAAGCCCAGCGCCACGCCATGAATAACCTGCTTCATTGGACGTGGCCAGAAAACGCTTCGTAAAATATTTGATAACGCGTTTTGCATAAATTTTTAATAAAGTCTCAAGCCTCCCGAGAAGATACATTACACCCTACGTTGAATATATTTATAATTACGACTTCAAACTACTAAAAAAGCAAAAATCATAAAAAGTACGCCATTTTAATAGCACACAAAATTACAAACATTACAAACAAACTGTATATTTGACATTTCGCTATATATGTTGCCTTGTTCCTGTTGCACGGCCCCAGCACCCGAAAAGGGCGTTGCGCGCGCGTAACCTACGAGGTAATTTATATACGAAGCGATACGGAGCCGACAAGCGCCATTTATATTTACGGCCGCCTAAAACAATACTCGACAATTTACACACGCTCTCGGTGCGCGCAGAGCACCACCAAGCCGAGAGATGCCGCGTCCATCCATTCCACTTTCCCACATGCTCCATACCTTTCAAGGCACAGAGAGCAGAGGTAGAACCACCACCGTCATGTGCATATATATCCCAGCACAAACTCATGAAGCATGGCAGAAGCAATCTTCACTTTTCGACTGACTTTAACGCCGCACGCCACACTACACCACACCGCATCAAAGTGTAACATTTTCGAAAGCTTTCGAACCAACTCAACTGCCCGTGCTAGGACCAGCTAGACACTAAACTCTCCTCGAAGCAGATGCAAAACTGCAAACTGAAAGTAATACACATATGTGTGCGTGTGTTGTGTGTTTACGTGTGTGAGGGAAGAGAGAGTCGCATTTAATTTACGTATTTCGGTCGAAACTAATTAAACACGGACACGTTCATCCGCCCCGGCGCCATCCGGCGACCGACAAACTCGCTGAGATAGTTTCAGGATGTTGAGTTGTGTGCGAAAAGCTTCAGTTTCACCCAGGCGCAAATAAATAATAAATTTAAATATTATATTAATATATTTCGAAAATTATTATTACCTCACATCACAGGAAACGCCCGAAACAATATAATATTATTATGTTGTGAAGATAAGAGAGTGATAAGCCCGAGATTTCTCGCTTTTTGAGTTTTTGCAGCCGCTTTGGGCTTAGTCCGACCGAATGTTCATTGCACTCGGTCGGGCTGTTAGACGCGCTTATCGTTCCGCGCGCGCCTCCACCATATTTACATTTTCCTAGCAAGCGCGCGTTACATATGTATGCCCCCTTCGTTTCGCTTGTTTTCCCGAAAACAGATGTGCAATCGGCGTAAATGATTCGCCTCAGTTTCGCGCAATCTAAACAACCAACCTAAAGTTCTGCATTAATAGACGATATTTCTACAAAACACATACGTACTAAACTCACATTATATACAGTATGTTCATGAAAAAAACTAAAAAATAAATTTTTATAAAAACTTTTTTAAAAACTTGATTTGTGAGGATTATTGAGTGAAAATCGCAAAACTTATAAACTTATAGCTTACTCTCTGGAGTAAGAAAGGTGTACGAATATGAACAATGGCGGCAGACGCTCCCAGGACGCATCTTAATCTCCATATTGCAGCGCGACCACCGCCACAGATGCATATCGGGCCTATCGGTTCAGCTTACCGGCGACGTTTAGTGCCCGTAAACTGGATTTTAAATATAATCCATGGGCTTTACCACTCCTGGGACACACATAAAGACCAAAAACTTTCGCAAACAAAATGATCAATATTCTACTCTTCACTGTTGATCAATTTCTTGTTTTCTGACCATCAACACCAAAGAAAACATGATTAAATGTGGGTGAAAGGTGACAATAGGGATTTTCTATCCGGATGAATTATGCAGGGAATAAGCCGTGCTAATCTACGGGAGGCGGCTACATCACACCCCTCACAACCGCGCCACCCCACAACGAACACGAAGACGTTGGCTCGACGCGTTGCTTTACAACTCCCTTCGGAGGAGTCTGAAACGTGTCTTGTCTGATGGACTTTTTTTTCTTCGTGCTATAAAAATAGCAAGCCACAAACAAAAAATAACCCCCCATGTTGAAAGTGAGAACAATTCCGCACACGCAATCGCATGTAAACACTAACAATCTAAATTCTCGAAAATGGTGCTCAATTTGCAGATGTTTCATCTCATAAAGAATGCAGACGTGCCGCAAAAAAATATAATCCGAAGACTATGCGTGACAGACGCAATCCGCCGCACACCGCGGCAGACATTTGACGTGTCGACATGACGGGCAAGCGCTGGGTCTTAGCATAAATTGGTTGCAAATGAAAAACTTCTCCGAAAAACGCACAAAAACTCAGCCGGTGCTCAAATGAGATTTGTACTGATTTTACATAGTAATACAACTTGTACACCTGCATAATAACACAGATTAAAATATATATTATGTCAGAGATAAGCAAAAACATGAAAACAGAAAAAAAACACTCAATCAGAAAATTGCGGCTGGAAAATTTCGCACGAATAATTCACGCCTTGTCTTGTCTCACCACGTCGATGTCATTGTCGTCTTACAAAACCAGAGTCGTCGCGGCGACAGGATGAAAAGTAGTGGAGAGCGCGGCGAGCAGGTGGCTGACGACGTGCTCGGCTGCTTCGTGGGCGTTCGGTAAAAGCATCGTCACTAAATAATGAGCTTGCATATCAGCGTTATGTTTACCTCCGACTTAATGCACTTGTTGGCGACAACCTCAGACGAAATTTCCCACGCCAAACACACAAAAAAAAAACAACCACTCCAAGGTAAATAAATTTATGCAAGTGGACAAAAATAGAAAATTACCGTAATAATCGTCAAATAAAAGGTTATAAAAAAATAAAATGTCGAAAGTCTAGCCGGGAAATGAGTAATTCGCTAATAATTGTGGTAATCATGCAAGAAAGAAACAAAATTCGGCAAAAAATCAAGCGATTTAGAAAAAATACATAAACGAGTATACAATAAACGCGCAATAAATCAATTTTTACGAGCGAAATTATCGCCCCGAACGACTTTTCGTCCGCACGACCTTACAATTTCGCAGACGATTGAATTATTCATTAGCCAACTTTTTCATTGCAATTCTCGATTTTTCTCTCGCCAACTAACCCAATAAATGTGACCGAAATAAAACCAATAAAAAAAGCACGCCGCGTTAAAACTACGAACATTATTCAGATGAGCATATGCATGATGCACGGCCGCGCCTGACCGGCTTCTTTATGAATTTATGCCGCAAGTTAAATGCGGCGCGCGGTGGAGGCGCCGGGCAAAATAATGAATCCGCGCATGAATCTGCTTACGCCGGTCGAAAACTTCGGCGGCGGGCGAAAATAATTAACCGCTTTATATTAAAATTACTTTTTAATCTGGAAGCCATAAATAAAAGATGGCGACGTGCATCGCATGCAGAGTGAGCCGGCGAGAGCAACCGCAGGACCTATTCAAATAAACCAACTTTCCCGAGCGAAGCGAACTTCATCACCACCGCAGCCACGAGAGAAGGATCGAAGGACCGAAAGAGTTGAGGCACGTAGCACGCAGCGTGCGCAATGGCCAAAACGTTCGCGGCATTAACGTAAATTCAATTAAACGACTTTGTTCGTCAGGATGCAAAAAGCGAGAAACCACCAAAGGGACGCGCGTCGCAAAACCCCACAACACTAGCCGCCAACGAACATGGACATGAATAAACAGTGAAATTGAGTCGTAAGACTACCAGACGACGTTTTTAACTAAAAACTAAAATTCCAATCTGAATCTCTGTTTTTTTGCTCGGTGTCATCAGAAAATTGCAAAATATGCATGCACACCTTAAGAGTACAAGAAAAAAGGCTGTGTAACAAGAGCAAGCACATAGTTGATCCTTTGCGTGCACTTTTGCCTGCATTGTCATCATGTTATAGCGTGCACACGGACGGATTCGCGTGAAGAATGGTAGGACGTGCGCGTCGACGAGACGCATCGCATTGTCCTTTGTTCGCCAGCGCCAAAGCTGCGCGCTTATTTGCAGCTGCAACGCAAACCCAGCCATGAGAACAAACGCTAACAACGCGGGCGCGACGCTTTGAGCGCGCCGAGAAAGAGTGATGGCGGAGTAACGCGAATAATGCGCGAGTAACGCAAGGATAATGCCGAGAGAAAACGCGAATACTGCAGTGGATAACTCCTTCAAATAACTGCAACACGAGTAGCACAAATAGCACAAGTTACGACTCTCAATTTTCACAAAAAAAAAAAAGAAAAATCGTCAAAGACGAGTTAAAATCAAATATAATGCATTTTATTATATTTTTATTAATTATTATTCTCTTATTTCATATTTTACTCCTTTTTATATTTATTTTTCCCTTTCGTTTTGAGCTATTTATTAAAAAAGTAATAACGGCGCCTCCACCATAACAAAAAATATAAAATTCCAGCGCATTAAAAACAAAATACAAAAATTTAACCCCATCAGCCAACCCTAAACATGTTCGCCCTCAGATCAACAACTACAAACAAATGCCACCCCCGCTGCTAAACGCCATACAATTCGAATTCCACTGTTTGCGCACTTCACCCCTTGACAACCCCATCCGTGCGCAGCACGCAGTAGGCGGTTTTAACACATGTATAATGACTAGTGCATAAATGTTAATTAAGCTGTGACAACGCACAGCACGACGCATGTCATGCCATCAAGAATACACTACAATCACATACAGTGTGTCCGTAAAACACCAAATAACTATATATATATATATATAAAGGGTTAGAGTTTAAAGCAACCAGTCAAGGCACATTAATGTTATTAAGATGAGAGTAAATCCCGCTTCGTTTTTAATTAAAATCATTAGCGCGACGTGGGTTAGACAGAGCTGTCAACACGTCTTCGTCAAAATCCGGAAATCATTTAACCCTTATTCAAACATAAAATCAAAATATTGAAAATTTTCGAAACTTTTTTGTTTATAAAACAGCGCTTTGGCTTTGATTAATTACATTTTACTGTTGAGGAGGTGCACATGAAAAGTTCGAGTCACTCTTTCCTGCGCAGCTATTTGTTGTGGGATGGAAAGATAGCACTTTGCGACTTTTATGTGTTTGATCTCATCCAGCGACGCAAAAAGTTGCTCTATATTGAAAGTTCGTGAAGCGCGCGCGCGCGCGATGTTCGATGTTAGCATTAGATGTTAGATAAATTGAACTTTATGTGAGGAAGTTAAACTTTTGATAGTTATTTTTATTACATCGATAAATTATATTGGAAGACCGCCGCGGGCGCGCAGGTTGTGTAAGGTGATGCGCGTCCTGCTTCCACCTGTTATCCCAGGAAAAAAAGCGACAAAAAAGTAAGAACCGCCGCGCTATTAATATTTAATTAAAACTATAACACAAAACCTTAAAGCGCGTTCGTGGCTCACTTTTATGAACTTTTTCCCCATTAACCGACCAATATATCCTCTCCTGCTTGCGCTTTTACTTGTTCATCTTTGTGACGGTGTTTTCTTTTATTACATTCGATGACACAAGACACGCATTATATATAAATCACGTTTTTTCTCAAAAAAAAAAAAAAATAAAGAAAAATGTTTTTTCTGGTGTATTGGCCGCAAAAACATAATTTTCAATTTAGTTGTTGCATTTAAAACGTAAATCAATGAATTGAGTGCATATGCTGATAGTTTGCATTGTGCACTTAACATTTTTGCGATTTTGCAATTTATTGCAAAAAAGTAAATGGGAATTTAAATTGGATGTGTGTTATTTGTACACGATGAACATACACGCGCGCAGAGCGAGAGAGGCAAAGGGTGAAAAAGTGCGCTCGACGGAAAATTCAATTTTTCCGTAAAATTTATTCAAATTTTTAAAATAAACATTGCGAATGTACAGTGCACATATAGCAAATGTTTATATCAAAATCGTGCGGGGCACATCAAACGCTCAAACAACAAGAACAACACGCGAGCGATATATCAAATTGCGACAACAAAATCCATCCGGCTAAACCCGAAAACCACAACCACATAAAGCGCAAAAAAAAACTAGTTTGAATGACATCGGATGACAACAAAATAACAAACAAACAAACACATACCACGCGCACAACAACGCAAAAAAAGCAAAACCAATCAATTATCAATCACTACGGAGCCAATTCAATTAATTCCGCCGGTGTATCAAAGTGCATCACACGTCAAAGTGTTTATGTGCATACAGTTTGCATCAGAATCACGCGCGCGCGCGCTTGTAATTCGATCGTAATTTGAAACTCTTGTTATAGACGACAAGACGTAAGCACACAGGCGCTGTGGACAAGACATAAACTATATTGATTCGCCTAATGGATTTGCCAACCACTTACGCGGGGCCATTGTGCGCGAAAAGCGTCCGAGGTTTAGCGATGGCCAATTTGTGTAACGACCGAACACGCCCGCGCGCGAGAGAAGCGGACTCCTATCGCGAGCGGAATTTCGTTAGCCGTGGGACCCGCCTTTTGATATCGAAATTAATCCGATACCAATGCATAACGTGGGTATTAACACCATCCGGTAATATTCAACGGCGCAAAATTCAATCTCAGACACGTGAAAAATAATTGCATATAAATTTTTAAAAATCCAGCAGCAGTAAATACTCATTATATAAAATTAAACGCACAGAAAGTAAAAATAAGAGAAGATAAATTATAACTAATTATTTTTGCGTATATTGCTGCACAAAAATAATTAAACACTCTGTATAAATTTTTGTAATAAAGAACAGTCGGTGCAATCATAACAAGACGTTATAAACCGCAGCCTGTGTCTTGTTCTCAACAAAACAGTAAAAACCACAACAAAAATCTGTAATTTAGGTAATTTTACCCCGAATTAGGGCAAAATTAAACCTTTTATTCCCGTACCAACCCTTCAAAACGCCCCGTAATCATAAATAATAAAAATGTACTCACAGTTCCAAACGACTAGCCTCTAAACCTGCAACAAACAAACAAAAACGTAAAAATACTTCATAATATTCAAAAATATGAAAAAATTTTAAACATTTATTTACTTTACTAGCCCCGCTATAAAAGAGAATAAAAGTATTCCATTGTCGAGTCGAGAAATACTTGATGTGTGTAAGTGGGCGGCGATGGTGTTTGAACGCGCGGAAGATGAAGAAGCAGATTGCGAATGTCAGTCACGCGGAATTTGAATGAATGAAAAATTGCCGCCGCTCGCCGGGATGCATTTCATATCAACGCGCGCGCCCCGCACGCTACCCGCAAGTGTGTAGATGTATCAGCGCGGATTTTTCGGCGGGCGGCGCATTATTAAATTTTAAAATTCCGCGCGCACACCCGCACACAAAAGAGGAAGAAAAACGACGCCGGAGCGATGAAAACGTTACAAACGCGCGCCTAAAGCAAACACACAAACCGTAGGGAAAAAACACACAGCACATGCACTGAAAAAATAGTGTAGGTATAAAGTAAAAAAATACCGGAAGACCGGAAAAACAAATAATGAACTTTTTACCTCAGCGCGTGATTTTTTTCTTCTTCTGTTTTCCCTGTGTGTGTGTATGTGTATGCAGCGATCACAATTTCTCGGCGCGCAGGTATGTTATGAAAGCAGAGTAAAAATCCCGCACCGGAAAAATACCGGAACACTCGCGGATGCGACGAAAGAGACGGAAGAAAAACACACCGGCAGGGACGCAGGAAAGCGCAACCGATTCCGACGAGACTGAAATTTCTCGGCGTGCCAAACAGACAAAAAAGCCGACGTGGAGGAGAAAAGAAAAAAATAAAACAAACGCGCACACACCCCCAAGAGTAGCAATAGCGGCGCAGGAGAAGACAGGTAATGGTAAAGCTGGAAATTGCACCGCCAGTCTAATGAAAATCGTATAAATATTCATTATAACAGCTAAATGAATTATCGTTCTGGTTGCAGCTTCCGGTGGTGCAGCCCTACTATACTAAGTAAATTCCCAAATAATGCAACCTGTAATTCTCGCAAAATTACGCAAAACATTATAAATCTATTAGTTACATATGAGTGTAATACATTTACACATTGTATAATTTGAAATTTTGTTACTTTTGCGTAAATTGTACAATGAACCGCGGGCAGGTCATTGTAATTAGCTTACTTTAATTGCAATCCATGCAAACGCTCATGCATAAAAATGTCGAGCATCCTCGAAATGCGATTGAATGCATGCGTGGGTTACAGCGGGGGCGGTCGGGCAACAAGCGGTGGGAAAACGCAGTGCGCAACACAACATGACACAATATTTGTTTAAGTAATTAACTTTCCTGCGAGCTTTTTTGTCAAACGCTCGCAAATCCAAACTGCGCATCACGTTAAAGCAACCCCTAATGAAGAACTACCATTAATACACTATATGTTGCAATAAAAAATAAATATTGTATCCGTAAATAAAAAAATTAAAGAGAATAAAATAAATTAACCACAAAAATTGAGAAAAATGTTTTCAGGTATTTTAAAACACTTTGTATGCATAACAAAAATATTTACATTTTGTAATCGAATAGTACAATTTCACCAAATGCGTTTTTCTCGTTGGCGCAGCTCTAAATTCACTTCATCCCGCTTGTTGCACGTATCCACATTCCTCATCACCGACGTCAGTGTCCACCCGCCCACGCGTATGCGCCCCATCTCGCAACAACATTTAGTTTTAATTAACGCAATTAAATTAATTAATTAACTGTGTTTTTTCGATGCGCGCCGGATTCGCGGCGACCACAGCGCGCATCCCTTGGCGACACAACATACACCCACACACAGGAATAAATTTAAAAATCCGCGCGTGTGTGCGTGCTACGTAATGTTTTCATTGTGCATTTGTCCTAAGCGCATAAAATACAATGGATGGACGCGTTACGTGTTTTATCGGCGCGAGAACGGGCATCGATTGATTGTTTTCTATGGAAAACGACGGAAATTAATTAAATTCCCCGTTTAATTGCCCATTATTTTATTAATTACGCGTGTGTGTGTGTGTGCAAAAACAATACGCGAAATAAAAAGCGCTGAAAAAATAATAGACGCGTAAACAACGAATTTTTGCATAAATAAACTTTTAATTGAAATATTTTAATTATGCAAATATCATTAATATAAAATACTAATAGTAATAATAATAATAATGATGGTAGCTAACTGGGATTAGATTATGTTTGCGTGACGAAACAAAAACACTTGAGAAAACAAGATTACGCAGATGAATTCGGCTTTCGCTCTCGTCTTCGACTCGAGAGATATCTAAACATCTTCGCGCTCTTTAGCCCTCAAGGGCCCGGAATAGAATAACCCAAATCTCGAGGAGAAGAAGATCAAAAAGCACTAAAAGCTGAACAAACTAACTCGCATTTTCGTCTTTATACTTTTACCTTTCTCCGCTCGTACAAAACTTCCACATCTCAATAATTTCTTAAATATATTCTAAAATATATATAAAAAACATGCCCTGCAGCAGTAAACTCCTCCAACAGTTTAACTATTTTATTCCGCTGACTGTCAACCAAGTAACAAAATGATATAATTCACGGCACATCTTCTTAGCCGTAATTTTATTAATTACTTTTGGGTGATAACGCAATCTAATGTGTTTTTAATTAGTGCTTTTACAGTTAATTGCAATACGCGGCTCAAAACGCGCCGCTCGCTGCAATAAACGTAATTGAAACGACTATTACTTAAAAGAAATGAGTGTCGACTACCCCGCTCGAGGAGTCATTGTCTGAATTGCAGCGCGAGGACGAGCGCAAATGTTTTTGTTTGCGTTCGGCGCTGGCGCGTCCTTCGTTTTTTTTTCTGTGTTCTTCGTTTCGTTCTTTTTCCTGCTCTGCGACTGTCGTTTATTCTAATTATGTGAACAAATACGAATACACAAACAAAGACAAATAGTACACAACAAATATATTGCATTATGGGGCCGTCCAGTCGCCACAACAAGATATTTTCCTCATTAAATATGCAATACGTAACAAGTTTAATTAAATTTATATTTTCGTGAATAACAAGCAACTTTCCGGATGATATTTTAGCGAAATTATTAAAGTTCTGAAGCATACGACAGCCACAGCGGTCAAATAACACGAACTGTAAATAAATGAGAAATAATGCAAATTAATTAACTATTATATGAAAATTAAGTTGTGTTTGAGCACGTTTTGTTATCTGCTTCTCGTAATATAATGAATAATAGTATATTAAGTGCTGCCAAGCACCACCCCGTGACTAAAACCAGTGACTAAAGTACTTTAGTCACGACCGTGTTTAAAAACCGTGAAAAACTGACGCTTTAAAGGTGAAAATGGAAGAAAATAATTTTATTCGATTATTTTATAAGAAAACAGTTTTTACCTTCAAGAAAATCATGACTAAAGCCGATAAATAACAATAAACATAAAATATACGCGCAAATAATAGCATAAGTGATGCATTAAGTAGTTACAAGACACTATAATCTCATAAAATAATTTATGACGTATCACTTTCCCCCCACATCACATTACACCTTAAATAACCTTCAATAACATCACATTTCGAGCGTATTGTGCGTGTTTCGGCGCATATTAATGCGAATGCATATTGCATGACGTGCTAAAACGCTAAAACTTCCCTCTCGTCTTTTTACAACCGCCCCCAGCCCTCATGAAGGCGGCGGGCGCCTAATGTCAGCCGTTAAAAATATTTAAGAAGCGGGAAAATTTTCATCTCTCAGCGATGATGCGCCGCGCACGCCGAACGATATAAAGATTAACGATTGCTTCCGTATAATTCCATATAATAACAAATGCATCGTTTATGTTCTTACGTCGTAATACTAATAATAATAACGCCGGCGGTATTATGGCAATAGCAACAAACGCATCGTAATGGCGCGCAGCCAGCCCGCAAACAACTATAAAATTTTATAAGCGAACAGCTTCCGCCAGTCGAGCGACGAGTTTCGCATGTGAGAAAAACTTAAACATTAAACATGAAAAATCACATTGTATACCATACAATACACCTCAACAAAGTACGAAATAAAATAAAATAAAAACGCAACACCGAAAAATATATAAATATAAATGAAATTTGTAATTTTTGTGCTCAAAATGGCGAAACATCAATTCACCGATTGTAAAATCGCTTCAGCTCGAGGTTCAGTTTCCAATAACAGCAGAGAACATGAGATATTAGCGATATTACGGGCGTAAAACGGGCATTATTGTGCTTATATCGCACTTAAAACTCCAATTTCGACTGCAATGCAATATAATAGCCAATATAATTTTATTTCAACCACTTACACGCACACATATGTTCGATAATATTTTCTCCACCAAAAATTATTCACAAGAAATAATCCCAATGTGTATGTATACGTGGTGGAAACCGAGGAAAGTTGTAATTAGCGTTAAAGCGATGTTTGCAAGCTTTGCGCGCTCGCAAAACTTGAAACTTTCAGCGGTTTAGCAAGAATGTTCCACGCGTTTGTTTGCCGCTTGCTCATTTCCAGCAAGCCCCGTGCCGAAAACCCGACTCTTGGAAGAGGCATATTTAAAACGCGGCGCCGCGAAAACAGAAATTCAAACAAATTCAAACAGCAACAAACGTCGCGCGCGCCACCGACGCATAAACTTGTCCCCTCTTTTCCGACAACAAGAAAGTGAAACTTACAAGTTTCCGCTCGGAATTGAAGTGAAACCGAGCGAAAAGCAACTAAAAGACAAAGAAAATCAGCGAATCAGACTCGACTGAATGCAGAGCAAATGAATTCGCGGCTGTTACCATGTTATATTCATACGTATTGCCTGTTTAGCAACATAATGAGCAAGTTTCCGAAGAAGTTAATTGGCGACGCGTGAATATGTGTTCTCCTCGTCGCTGAGGAAAACAACAAAGTTGGACTTGTTAATGCGCGCATTTCACGGTCGTTTTAAGATGTTTTACGCAGTTAATTTTACATT